AACAAAACAATTAAAACAGAAAACACAATGGAACAATCTGTGACAGTGTAAGCACCCAGAGTGAAACAAAGGGAATTAGGACACTTTATGTGCCACAACAAATAAAGGCTGTGATAGGATAGCATTTTGGGGTCTGAAGTCCCCCTAGGACGTGCTTCTACATTGTTGTGTTTTAATTGCATGGAAGCATCTTGATGCCAGGAAAAAATCTGACCAGAATTCCTGACCTTGTCTGTCACTTTGATGCCTGCTGATGGAGGTCGTAAACTGTCTGAAAACTGCTTCCTGTATCAGCAGCATAACAATGGATTTAATGGAGATAATCACAGTATATATATATTTATTTTACCATCTGGTTATAAGCTGTTTATCCATCAGAGGATATATATTATTTTAGATGTTATCGGTGTGTTCTCATTATGTATATACATACTGCATTACTGCATAGTGCACAACCTGTTTATATTACAGTTTTTATTTTCACTTACCAGATTACAATATTATTATATTTTACTTCATATTCTAATTTATACATCTTATTCCTCTATTTTAGCTACTGCACTATTTTATGTCTTGTGTTCCACATTTGTGATTTTTTTTTATACATATTTTATAAATATATATGCAAGAGCAGAGTCGCAGGGAGGCTGAGATCAAAGAATTTCATTGCCAACGACTGCCTCACTGTAACTGTTGTGTACAAGACAATAAGAGAACTTGACTTTGAACTTGTTAGTGATAAATAAGATTTTTTAAAAGACGTAACCCACTGTTACTGAAAACCATAACAGCGTGACTATCTTCACTATTCATTAAGACACAATAAACCAACTATCATGTCTTATATTGGCTTAGAACTGGTTGGTCAACTGATTTTCAGCACATCTACCCTTCAATACAATATATCTCTCAGCACAGTGTGTCATATCAAAGGGACTCCATAAGTCCCCCTCACAGAGTCCCTTTGATGTGTTTATTACCAACAACATAAAAAATACCAAATTATATCAAGGCAGCCATAAAGTAATTTTGACTGACACATGAAAATGTTCCGATTTTTCAAACTGGATTACCAATCACACATCTTCAGTCACCTGCCATAATCAATTCTACCTTCCCTTTCTCATACATGTTTAACCAACTACTGGGTTATTGGGGACACGCATCAGTGCTTGTGTTCTCCCTCAGGCTATATGGCTGGCAGTCATAGATGATGCCTCAACTGCTCAACACTCCTCTCTGTGTCTCCCCTTCTCTCTCTATCTCTCTGTCTGTCTGTTTCTCTCCCGGCCACACACCTTCCAATGCAAGCTGCAAGGTATTAATCGGGTTCATCAAAAACATTGCGTATATACAGAAAAAATGTGTTGCTCAGACCACATGCAAAAGGAAATTTCTAAAACCTGTCCTTGATAGAAAATCATGCTTTAGAAATAGTAAATACTTATAGGCCATGGCAATTAACCATCCCCTTTGTTGTAACAGTGGTAGAAAATATACCAGCTTTTTAAGTTCAAGACCTTAAGCATGAAAAATGAGCAAGAAATGTACCACGGCAGCCATATTGTGTGAAAATTATTCAGTAATTTTCATCATTTTGTTGCTAAATGTTCCGTGTACCTTTTCAGGGGGACAGTCTATGTATGTTCCCTTTTTTTAAACTCCTCTGTTTTGTGTGACATATTATCACTCGGCAGCAATTAATGAGAGGCGGGCCTACGGCTGGAGACAACATTGCATTGTATTTTTACACCCTCAACTTTCCTTTCATACTCGGTCTATTTTTATAACCATAAAAACTTTCCCACATTGTGACGTGAAAGGAAGAAGGAAGACAAAGCAGCGTCTTTTCAAGTCCTGCCCCTGACATCAAACCATCAAATTATCTGGTGCTCAGAGCGAGCTGCAAGATAAAAATATGAATCTATTGACATCACTGGCAAAACTGACACCATGGCATAAAGGTGCCTGCTACTCTGCCCAGTAGGATGAAATAAGGGGGCACTTTGTCACCTCAGAGCCTGACACACTTGACCAGGAAACAGATCTTTAGCATCTCAGGGCAGACTGAGATAAATGTATATTTTGATGAGGCTGTCAGACATCCCAGTTAGCAGTTTAAACCCACCCATGTCAAGAAAATAGCAATCTTATACCATTAAGGAAACATCATCTTAATCAATAAAACACCATAACTGGGATTTCCATAACTCATCAGGCGCTTTATCGGTTTCACCAGCACAATTTTTTAGGTAAGATAAAATCACTGGGTGTGTGAACACCTGCTACAAAGACTGACAGACTTAACAGCCAAAAGAAAAACAAAAGGACCATCATTGTCAAGTGGCCTCTTGTGTACAGGTAATTAATTAGCTCATCCCAACATCCCTTGTGCCTTGATTAGTTCTTAACATTTTTTTGAGGAGTGAAAATGGCATTTTAACTACATCTGGTAGACTGCCAGTGAGTGTGGCTGACAGATTCATTTTTTTTTTACAGCCACAATTAATATCGCACAGATTTTTGGGGCTTGCGTGAAGCCTCCATGAGAACTAAATGAGCTGCGTGTCAAGAATGTGGGTTACAGTTAATTTCAGTTAGTGCACGACCTACAGCTGAAAGGGATGTCGGTGACCTAACCGTGGCCGTCAACAGGCGCACAGGATGGAGGCACAGGCACACCAAGACACACTTGATAAAGCGCTGTTTACTGTAGCCTACACGTGGCTTTTTCGCACCTCTGCGGCCATGCAGAGCTGGAATATCATTTAAAGTTGGAGCAGCCTCCTGATCACAAGTGGAAAACAGCAGCGCATCCTCTGATACAAAAAAAAACAACAACGCGGATGTTGTCACTGTAGCCCATTTCTACTTAAAAGCATATGCACACACACATCGAGAGAAACATCACGGCATACACCGACACAGCAGCAAATACACTGTCATGGGTTTAAAACAGCTGTCTGAACCAAAACTTGTGGGTTTTTCTTTTTTTTTTTTTGTGGACTTAAAGCCATTCACTTGTACACGCATGCAGCCTGTGAAAGAAAACACACACAGCCTACAGAAACCATGCAGCAGGGTTTTCATCATGCCCCCCCGCCCCCAAATCTAGGCT